AGATGTCTAGCCGCGTTAACTCGCTTTCAAATTTTACTTTCAAATTTCTCTCGGTCGTTATACGCTTAAATTCGGGAGGAAAGAACTATTCCAAGCTTGCATCCGTTCAGAGGTGGAAACCACCTCTTGATACTCAACGATCGATATTGCGTGGTAATTTGCTCACGAGTTTGCAAATTTTATCTTTCCACGAACTTTCCACGAATTCGTCACGAACGATAATTTTCTGTTTGGGAAAAAAAAAAAAAAAAAAAAAAAGAAAGGAGCTGAAAAAGGAGTAGAAAATAATTATTCAATCGTTTATATCTCTGTACAAATGATTTTCATAAATACTTGTTTAATTACGATATAACTCGATAAATAATAATTTCCTTAATAATTTCTCATTGTACAATAATTGAGCGTATTATATTTTATACAAGCTTTGCAAATTTTTCTTTGAATGGAGCAAGCTTAACAAGACAAGCTGAATAAGTAATCCTTTAGATAGTAACGGTTGAATAATCTAAGTCGAAATTCAAAAGTGGATACGAAATGGGGGTGGTCCTTGTGCATAATAATCGGAGAATAATTCAGAGAATTTTAAACATTCACACAGTCGAACCTTTGTTAATCCCCTTTCGTTCGTAATTGTAGAGATAAACGGGTTATTTTAATCATTACCACTATCGTCCGTCCATCCATTATTTTCTTGTTAAAAAAAAAAAAAAAAAAGAAATGAAAAGACGAACTAACCGATTAACAATAGCGCGAGAAAAACATCTGTTCCAAAATCCAGTTTTAAAAAATGTTACAGAGGAGAGAGAAAAAAATTTCCCGAGTTTGTACAATAAAATATTCCATTGTTTTTATTTAAACATAACAAATATTGGAAATTCTATGATATTAATAAAACCACGTAATAATTTTTAAATTTTTTTACCAATTTTTCTATTGTGATAAACGAAAAAATAACGTGGCTTTGTTCGTCGAAACGAATTACATTGTTTTTATTTGTTAACAAATTTATTTAACAAATTTTAAATTTTATATTTATCTATAGACGGAGAAACATCGAAATTTTTGAATAAATTTTAAACACGAAATAAGTCGTTCTATATATGTATATACACACACACATAAACAAGTGTGTATTTAAAAAAAAAAAAAAAAGAGTGGAAAAGGAGAAAGAAAAAATTAGTTGGAAAGTGGAAGAGCATGAAAGGGATTTGAGAAATCCTACAGGTGGTTGCGGATCAATTCGTCTGACCGACGATCGTTAGAAATATACGTGCAAGTTTTGCGATTAGAAAACTTCTTTGATAAATTTCTGAACCGTGTTATATTTTATATAACCCTCGTCGAGAATAAAATTCAAGCTTCGTAAAATCCATTTCCTTTTTTCAATACTTTCCGTTTGCGATCTCGTAAATTTATTCGTAAATTTTTTTGCAATTTCGTCGATTTTTTGAATTTCGTATGTATTTCTATATTACACTCTTATATTATATTTTATACGATTCAATTCAATCGTATAATAAATTCTAAAATTTTTCACGCGTAGGAAAATTCTTCCGTCGAAATTTTTCTCCAATTTTTCTCACCCTCTTTCACACGCTTTGATTCCAACGTTTTTTAAACGTTAAAAATTTAAAGTTGGAACGTGGTAGTATTAACCGTCGTGGAAAATTAATTTTGTGCGATTAGCGAGCTTGCGTTCGAACACTTGTCTAAAATTTGGATTGTGCTTGTCGCGCCCTCTATTATCGACTGGACTTATTAAGTGATAATTGTCAAGGATGCTCTTTCAAACGATCCGAACAATTCTATTTCAATTTGCATGTACAATCCGAATTTTTCTGTGTGATCAATTAAAAATCGAATAAAACGTCTTTTTACAATTTTTTATTAAACCTAACCTATTAAAATTCTATTATATAATTCTATTATTCTATATCGATAATAAAGTTGAATGTTAAATGCAAAATCTTGCAAAAATTAAAAGATGGTTTACATTGCATTTAAAGTGAATATCTGGATTTAAAGTGATTCTTGATTCTTCACTGGATTTTCTGTAATTAGGATATTTAAGATTTTGATCAATAAAAGAAATGTCAATTTAAAGGAATGAAAAAATGTGGGATTAGATCTTAAAGTAATAATTCATTTTTATTGAAGTTTGAAGATAAATGTGAATATCAATTTTTATAAATAAATCGTTGTGAATTTTTGATACTCGTGTTTGAAAGGGAAAAAGAAAATTACTATCGTGCATTTGATAAAAGTGATGGGATGTTTCTAAACCAAATTACATTAACGTAATTAAATTAACATTTTCCCTTGCATACCATAAATTTATTGAACCCAGTTTAATTCATTTACATATATTTATATTAAATTAAATTTCCATATTCCATACGTTCTGGATTTCTGTAATTCTCGCGGTCTAAATAACGCAATTTATATTCCATTAGTTCCAAAATTATCAACACTTATCAATCTAATTAAATTAACCAATTTGTTCCAAAATTGATTTCACATAACAGCCATTGATTCCATTTTGATTCAATTGGTTCAATTTAGAAATTTCCAAATATTATAAGTTACTTGAATTTTTGAATTTCCAAAAATTTGTTTATGTTAATGAATTGAATAAAAATCGAATGAATAAATGCATGATGATATTGAGATCAATAGATAAATTTTAGAAGAAAAAATTAATTGAAAAAAATTAATTGAATAAAATATTCTAAATATTTTCAAATAAAATGATAAAATTTCTAAATTTCCAATTATTCTCGATCAAAATATTAAAATTTCTTAATTTTCTAAATATTCTCAAATAAAATTTCTAAATTTTCAATTATTTTCAACCAGAATAATAAAATTTCTAAATTTCCAATTATTTTCAACCAGAATATTAAAATTTCTAAATTTCCAAATATTCTCAAATAAAATTTTTAAATTTCCAATCATTCTCAACCAGAATATTAAAATTTCTAAATTTCTACACATCCTCTATTTTATTTTTAAATAAAATTTCCAAATATTCTCAAATAAAATTTCTAAATTTCCAATCATTCTCAACCAGAATATTATAAAATTTCTAAATTTCTACATATCCTCAATTTTATTCTCAAATAAAATTTCCAAATTTCCAAATTTATTCTTAACCTAATAAAAAATATAAAAATTTCCAAATATTCTCAACAAAAATGCTAAAAATTTCTAAATTCCCTTATCCTCCAAACGATCGCATCATTTTCACTCACACCTCCCATATACACGATCGAATACACGAAACGAATTGACCCCAAAGTCAATGAAAATGTTCCCGTGAAAGCGATATAGACGTAAAGGTCGGTCGACGTCGAAATGGAAATCCAAAGGAAGCATCACGAGTGGTCTGCAACGTCCAACGATCCAAAAGCGACGGCACGTCAAAGAGATACGCGTTTGTGCAAGTGTTTCCTGCACCGGCACCGCCACGGTTTAATTAGAGTGGGCTTTGCAATTAGTATGCTATCGTGTATCGAACTGCTGCCAACTTCGTAAACTCGATAAACCTCTCCTTTGACCGGTACGGTGCTTACTTTTCGCCAAGGAAATTTCGGCCGGCACTCAGAAACTGTCCCGCCTCGCGCACGGCCTGCCATGTAAATAAGTGTATGCATATGCAAATAATTCTTTTTAATTATTTTTGAACCGGGTTGTACCAACTTTTTCTTTCTTTCCTTTCTTTTTTTTTTTTCAACATTACAATTTTACACGCTCTTCTTGTCGATATTTTTATATCATTATATATATATATATGTAAACGCTCGTTAATTTCAAATTTAATAATAATTAACAAGTTAATTTGCAAATTTGTTACGCTTGCTAATTTGTGAAAAAAATTATAATTTTATATTTTGCTTGTCTTCATAAATCATACATAAATCGTTATATTTTAAATTTATTAGCGTGTCGATGATTTATTTGTGAATTTCTTACAAGCTTTTGAATATTTATTTGATATCTTTTTCGTCACGATTTTCTTTCACGTTTCTTTTCTTTCTTTTTGTATTTAATTATACTTAAATTGTACGATCTTATAAAATTTGAAAAAATAGGAATACCTATTTATTATTATGGCGTAATTTATAAATAAAACTATTATTTTTAAAAAATTTAGTTAAAGTAGATATTTATATGGTGAACCATTAATATTTATCATCTATTATGTCATTATATGATTTGATTCCAGACACGTTTCATTTAAAATAAAAATATGAAATAATTTAATGATTGATTCACGAACATCATATTTTTTATTTTTTATTATTATTATTATTTTTTTTTTTTCGTAAGAAGGGGAAAAAAGCACAAAAGCATATCCATTGACCCGTATCTTCATGTAGGGTTGTTACGAGATGTTGTACGACGACCCACTAAAAACCCCTCTTCGTGCTCTTTTCTTAATATAGACTCCCATGAGTTGATGATATCGTTACTTGGATCTCCTCTAAATCTATATTGCCCAAATGTACAATTCGAGGTAAACTTTGTGTTTCTTTGATACAAGTTTTCCACTATTTCTTGTTAATTGGTCTTTTACTTTTGTATTATAAAGTACATCAAGATGTAAGAAAATAAAATATCTGTCAAATCTTTCCAATTCTAATAGAATTTGTCATCAAATGTTATTATCTTAATTAAAGTAAATATATTCATTCAGCAAAAGTTTTCCACTTTACTTTTTACTTTTCCTTACTTAAATTTACTTAAATTAACCTTTTCTTTTTTTTCCATGGAGTATATTCACACGTTTAATTATTATTTAATTATTGAACGAAAGTTTTTCTTTTTCTTTCAAATAGATTTTTTTTTTCCCCTTATAAGATATTTATCAAAATACTTATCGAATCTTTCAAATTCTTAAGATACATCATCATTGTTTTTTTTTTCAACTATTTATTTTTTAAGGGAAATATTTTTTCCCCTTTTTAAATTATTACAAATTTCTATCTTCATTTTTACAGTTACTAAGCTCCATTGTGGTTGTTGGTGGGACGAACATGGCCGGAGTGTTGACGCATCATCCTCGAGAACTGGCGCAAAGACAAGCCTTCCTGGAGACTAGACAATGCGTCGAGGCTCGTCTAACCACTCAGAGAGAAAATCAGCAACAGGTACTTATATGTGTATTGTATAAATGCGTATATGCGTATTAATCTTATAGAATTTCACTATCGATGACCACAAATCACTATATTTCCGATTGTCCGATCGATAAATCAACTTAAATAATATATCTCGTGAATTCGATAATTACAGAAAATTTTGGAATCGTTAATTTGTCTGATAGAATTAATTTATTTCGAATTTGTCCAATATTTATTTTTTTTATAAATTGTTAATTTATCCGAAATTGTAAATTTAATTAATTTTTAAAAGTTAAAAAATTTTTTTTCTTTTATATATGATAATTAAAACGGAAGAGATTATTGAAATGTTTTCAATGATAAATTAAAAAAAAAAAATCTATGTTCGTTAAATTAAAATACATTGTTCAAAAGTGTTATTTGATTCAAAACTTCATTTTGGTTATTGGAATTTTCACGAGATAATCGTTAAAACCGAGAAATTTTTATTTTTACACGGTGAAAATTGCTTCTAACAAAAAGTTATGTTTGATATGAAAATATGTAAAAAAGTATTGCACAAAATTCTGTCGACCTATCGATAAATTTCACCGAACGATTTTTCGCAGTTTATTTTCGTTAAATCATAAATTTTAAATATTTAGTCTCGTAAAAATTCAATTTCAATCAAGGATAGGAATTATTTTCATGGAAAATCATTTTCCTACAGTTTATTCGTATTACAAAATTTTCAAATTTTGACATAAACATTTGCAAAACAGATCGGAGAAAAAAATTTTCTAACGAAAACGACTTTAAAATTAAAAGCAAAATTATTTTAAAAAAGATTAAAAAGATTAAAAAGATATATGTATCTCATACAAGTATCTTTATTTAATCTTGGTATTAATTAATCAATCTTTAACATAAGTTTGATAATATAGTATCTAGGAACATTGAAATTACCAACTTAGAAAATCGACTAGTTATCAGTAACGTATTTAAGGCCGAGTTCGATAGAGAGTACCTAACCAAATTTTGATCATTAAACCTTTTGCACATGTAGGTCGATAATTAATGCACTCTCCCAATTGTTTATTAATATAATGGACAACGTATAGCAAACTGTCTCTGCAATTTTCTCTCTAATTATTATAACATATATATATATATACTCCATATCCATATAGTCGATCGTATAATTCAAAATTATGTCAGCGCAATATTAAGTTGCTCCAAAATTATTTTGGTGAATAATTTCCATAATAATCAACTAGTGGAGCGAAGTTACGAAAATATACAGATATTTGAATATTAATGGATAATAGATTTAAGAATATTTGGGAATAAATTATATTTTTTGATTTATAAAAATTTTAGGCGTGCATCGTCGAAATTTTGGCAATGGGAAAACATCACATGCAGATAGATACGAATCGAGGTTTCGTAAATAGCCGTAGGGTTTTCGTTACGGTTCAACAAATTTTCCATTTAACAACTGCTGCGACCCAAAGTCCCTAGATCTCTCTATCTCGCACGAGCGACACGAAAAATTGATGAAGATATCGTTATAAATTTTTATCAATTCTCATCGTACAATTGATACGATAATACATGATGAAACTGTCGACACGTAACACTCCTATTTCGACAATCTTTAAACGCATTGCAGAAGATCTCAAATATATAATCGATTGTGATCCTTAGTTTTCGAAATATTTGCAAAAAATGATTGCTAATACTATATTGAAATTGCTAATACTATATTGAACTTATATACTATATTCCATGAATTTTTTGGGATTCATAGAATGCGAAATATAAAATAATACTTCACCGAAAGTTAAATGATAGACACCAAATGGACAAATCCATGATAGATTGATTCTGGAAAAGAAAAGAATGAAAAAAAATGTTAAAGTTGAGAATGAGAAAGAGAAGATGATGGTTGTCGAGTTAAGAGAGTATTTAACCAAATATATAAGGAGAATAGAGAGGCAGGATCTGTGGGGTTGATAAATAGAGCCTGGACAGTGGCCTAACGTTATCGTAGCGGGTCACAGATACCTGATTAAAGTGCACAATGGGCCAGGTCACGGGTAGAATGTTGGCTGGGATTATAAGCGATGCCCGATAACTCGGTATCTTTAACAAACTTCCACCGTTCTTAATGGAACCCAGCCGCTAAAAATAATCTGGTCGATTAATCAAATCGAGATAGGAGATATGCACTTTCATCAAATTTCTTCATCCTTTCGTTTAATGTAGAATTCCACTTAATGCTAAACTTTAAATAGTTCATTAATCTACGATCTTTCATAGATACACATATTCTTTCATTGTTTATATTTTACAAAATTTGATTAATATTAAACTTTTGCTAATATACATGTATTAACATCTATCTATTACTACAGATGAAAGTGTAAGTTGAGAATTTGATTAGATTCTCTATCATCATATCGAATTATTATATATAGCTTCAGTATATATAGTTTCAATTTCATATGAAAAGTAATCTTGGTATGGAAGTAAAATGGAGAAACTTTATTGTCGTGTTCGTGTCCAGTATAGAAACCTTAAGTATTTTTGAACTTATTGCCCTTAATCCCTCACAATATGGGACTAGGTGAAGTATCATCTCCATTCGTCTATGACTGCTTGGTAGTGGGTCAGCAAGTTGTCATGAATACCAGTATTTTGTAAAATTTCACCTAGTTTGTTAGAAAGTCTCTCCAGTAATGTTTCACTATTCCAATGTTTGACTAATTTTTACTATTTTCTTTTTATTCATTATTTTCTTCTGGAAAATCCTTTTATTAATATTGCATTTCATTTCTTGATCAGTATATCAATTCCTGCAGTAATTATTTTTTATCCATTAAAGGATTTCTTTAATAGTTTTAATATCTCTCATAAATTAAGCAATAAGATCTGACCAATTCCTGACCAATTCTCCCAAATCAATATTTTATCCTTTTAATAATGTTTCAATGTATCTCATAAGTTGAGTTACATTCAAGTCTGATCAACTTTTGTACTTATCACTTTTTACTCATTATTTATTCTTTGAAAGATCTCTTTAATAATATTAATATCTCTCATAAATTGAGCAATGTTATATTCCAATTTCTTCACTTCTTGTCCATTTACTTGACTACCTTTAATAACGTTTTAATATATAAATTGGATTATATTCTAAGATCTAATCAATTGCTGCAATAATCAATTTTCATTCATTAAAAGTCCATTAATCATTCTTCGCAGGATCTCTTTAATAATTTTAATACCTTTCATAAATTGAACATTATTCCAAGGATCTGATGGACCAATTCCTCCATTAATCACTTTCTGTCCACTAAAGTTCCATTGCTTTAGTAAATCCCTCTAGTAATATTTCGATATGTCTGTATTTCAAAGTCTGACCAATTCTTCCTCGTTCCACTCAGAACAGATATACATTACGTATAAATGTCATCGACCTGCAACGTATAAAGCACGAAATTAACGTTTCAATTTTCAGTTAGGACAGTTCGCGTTTCATGCAACCATCTACCAACGATGACGTTCTAACGCTTATTTACAAACGAGAGTATGTCTAATGCAGAGAAATTACCGCGTCTGATAAGCACTAAGAGTAACTGATAAGCGTAATACCGCACTATTCATTACAGTTCACGTCACATCATAGGCGACCATGTTGCCACTCTTTGGGACACGATTTTAACGCGTAATTTCCTAACCTGCGAGAATCCAAAGCTTGGAAATTTCTGAAGATTCTGGACCCGAAATTTTATAGGAAATTTCTAGAAAAATTCAGAGATGAAACAGGTTATAAAAAAAAATAGGAGGGAGGGGCGGGGTAAGATCGACGAATTAGAAGATCGATTTCTCGCGTTCTCGCGAATCGTTCTCTTAACGAAATGAAATTTTGCTGGGATGGCGGGGAGTGGAGATTCCAAATTAAAGTTTTTCGCCGGTGAAAGCTTTCCAATCTCGTCCGGTGGAATAACAAAGACAGGCCGGTTGCTTTTCTTCGTTCGAACGAGAACAATAATTGGACTGGCAAATGTGATTCACCGCGTTAAGGAAATTTTCTCTTAAAGGTTAAGGAATATTTTTTATCGGCATTTCAAGTATCAAGAAGAAGTTGGCGAAGAAATTGGGACGTTGAGAATAAAAGGCTCATAGAATGATAAATTTAGTTAAAGAAACCCAAGATTGAAGAATTATTAGAAGAAGTTAGTGCGTAAGAAATAATAGGCAATTATTGTATATTTATTATAGGAAAGAGAGAGAGAGAGAGAGAGAGAGAGAGAGAGAGAGAGAGAGAGAGAGAGAGAGAAAGAGTGCAAACATAAAATAAGATTTTCATTCACGCGTAATTTATCAATTTAAAAATTTACGTTCCAATTTTCACGCAACATTGTTGACGAAGTAAATTCATGAAATTTTTTCGCTCCCTGAATACACAATTTTTATCCATCGATCTCCACTCTATCCGTTAGACGCGATAGAACGAGCGATATTTCATTCCACCACCGTGATCTTTTCATCTCGCAATTTATCTTAGAAATATTTCCATCAAGGGTATGAAATATTCAAAGATGATCGTTATCCCGAGCAACTTCGGTTTCTCCCGTTACGCTAGCTCGCGTAGAATCTGAAATTATAGCGGCCCTTTGCAACGATAATTCGACGCTGGATAAATCGATCGGTCTCCCGGATACAACAGGTTGCACGCATATGTATCGCGATTTCCCGAGGCGTCGCTGATCCGATCATATGGATCGTGTTCAAAGCTTTCCAACTCATGTACCGCGTATATTCGAATTGATTGTGACGGAGAGTCGATTGATTAGTCTCACCTCTTTCGAGTCTCACGACTCGACGCATTCGATTCCTTTGGATTTACATTCGACGTGGATGGATCGATAACGGGAGAAGGAATTAACCTGTTTGCTGGCGAGGACGAGATATCTCGCTCACGGTGTCGCACTAACAACGTCTGTTGGAATATTTCGTCTATGTCGTCGCGCAAAACACATCGCGACGTGGAATATTTCAGTGGCGTCGCACTACCAATGTTGCATCGCGGAATATTTCGTCAATGGCGTCACGCTATCAATACCGCGAAATATCGCCGGTGTTAAACGAAGAATATTGCATCCATGGCGTCGCACTATAAATATGGCGGAATATTTCGTCGGTGATGTCGCGCCATCTATATTAAATCGACGAAAATTTCATAAGTGGTATAATAAATATTACATCGCGGAATATTTCGTCAATGGCGTCATGCTATCAATATTACATCGCGAAATATCTTGTCGCTGGTGTTAAATGAAGAATATCGCATCCATGGCGTCGCATTATCAATATGGAATATTTAATCCAAAGCGCTACCAATGTTGCATCGCACATGGTATCGCAAAAAATATTGCATCGCGGAAAATTTCGTCAGTGGCGCCGCACTATCAATATTGCATCGCGGAATATTTCATCAATGGTGTCATGTTATCAATACCGCGAAATATCTTATCGCTAGTGTTAAATGAAAAATATTGCATCCATGGCGTCGCATTATAAATATGGCGGAATATTTCGTCAGTGACGTCGCATTATCAATATTAAATCGACGAAAATTTCATAAGTGGCATAATAAATATTACATCGCGGAATATTTCGTCAATGGCGTTGCATTACCAATGTTGCATCGCGGAATATTTGAAAATGGCGTCGCACTATCAATATGGAATATTTAATCCACAGCGTTACCAATGTTGCATCGCACATGGTATCGCAAAAGATATTGCATCGCGGAAAATTTCGTCAGTGGCGTCGCACTATCAATATTGCATCGCGGAAAATTTCGTGTATGGCGTCACCCTATCAATATTACATCGCGAAATATCTTGTCGCCGATGTTAAATGAAGAATATCGTATCCATGGCGTCGCACTATCAATATGGCAAAATATTTCGTCAGTGGCGTCGCATTATTAATATTAAATTGACGAAAATTTCATAAGTGGCATAATAAATATTGCATCGCGGAATATTTCGTCAATGGCGTCGCACTACCAATGTTGCATCGCGGAATATTTGAAAATGGTATCGCAAAAGATATTGCATTGCGGAAAATTTCGTCAGTGGCGTCGCACTATCAATATTGCATCGCGAAAAATTTCGTGTATGGCATATGCTAACAATATTGTATCGCGAAATATTTTATCGATGGCATTAAATGAAGAATATCGTATCCATGGCGTCGCACTATCAATATTGCATCGCGGAATATTTCATCAATGGCGTCACCCTATCAATACCTCGAAATGTCGCCGGTGTTAAATGAAGAATATCGCATCCATGGCGTCGCACTATAAATATGGCGGAATATTTCGTCAGTGACGATCGTCGATTATCGTCGTCAGTCGCATTATCAATATTAAATCGATGAAAATTTCATAAGTGATATAATAAATATACATTCATAATAAACATAAATATACATTCATAATACATCAATAATAAATATATATTGTTAAGTGATATATAATAGATATAATAAATATTACATCGTGGAATATTTCGTCAGTGGCGTCGCACTATCAATATTGCATCGCGGAATATTTGAAAATGGCGTCAGATTATCAATATTGTATCGCGAAATATTTTGTCCATAACATTAAATGAAGAATATCCATGGCGTCGTACTATCAATATGGAATATTTAATCCACAGCGCTACCAATGTTGCACATGGTATCGCACAAAAGATATTGCATCGCGGAAAATGAAGAATATCGTATCCATGGCGTTGCACTATCAATATGGCGGAATATTTCGTCAGTGACGTCGCATCACCAATGTTGCATCGTGAAATATTTTGACGTCGCACTATCAATATTAGATCGACGAAAATTTCATAAGTGGCATAATAAATATTATATCGTAGAATATTTCATCAGTGGCGTCGCACTACCAATGTTGCATCGTGAAAAATTTCGTATATGGCATCGTGCTAATAATATTGTATCGCGAAATATTTTGCCAATGGCATTAAATAAAGAGTATTGCATTCATGGCGTCAGAAAAGATATCACGAAAAATTTCATCAGTGGCGTCACACTATCAATGTTGCATCGCGGAAAATTTTGGCACGGTACTAACAATACTGTATCAAAATATCTTGACAACGATCTTGTCGACATTAAATGAAGAATATTGTATCCATGGCGTCGTACTATCAATATGGTTGAATATTTCTTGCACAGCCAATGTTGCGCTACCAATGTTGCATCGCGGAATATTCCGTCAGTGGCGTCGCACTATCGATACTGCATCGTGGAATATTTCGTCAATGGCGTCACATTATAATATTATAATATTGCATTATAATATTGCATCGCAGAATATCTTGTTTAGTGTTGCACAAAAGATATTGCGTCGCGGAAAATTTCGTCGCATTATCAATATTGCATCGCGAAATACTTTATTTAAAGCGTCGCACAAAAGATATTGCATCGCGGAAAACTTTGTCAGTGGCGTCGCATGATAAACATCGTGGAATATTTTGTCAATGGCGTCGCGCTATCAATATTGCATCGCGGAATATCTCGTCCATAGCGTTATATGCGAAATATCTCCCATAATATTATACGGAATATCTCGTTCGTAATTCATTAAAAATGTTGCATAACGGAATATTTCGTCAGTGACGTCGCACTAAAAATATTTCGTGTATAATATCTCACGAAAGATATTGCTTGACGAGATACACGTAATTTTTTTCTTCCCTTTTTTTTTTAATTAGTCATAGCTTTTAGGGATTATGTTTGAATAATTTAGGATTATTTTTTTATCGAGATAATGCTATTAACTTTTCTTTTTCGTTCATACAGAAATCCGGAATCCTTTCGGTTTTAAAATTAAAAAAAAGAATTTTACGTAATCGAATATTTCATTGAAATTAGAGAAATATTGATTGATGATGATCTATCTGCAGGATATCGTAGTGTGGCATAGAAATAGAAACGAAATAGTATACGCGAAATTTATGCAGATTAGAGGTCTTGAAATGAAAAATAAGAGAACAAGAACGGTTATGACAAGCTACGATCACGCAGTTTGCTCGTTCAGTCTACGAACGACCTAAAGCTTGCTATGTAATTTCGTGTTAAAATTCACAGAAAAGGCATTCGAAACACGTGTGGATCAATCGTTTAAATGAAAATTTCAAATGGTATTACTATTTGTTCAAAAATAATTAATAATTTCATTGTTCAAAGAATTAACAAACTAAAAGCAAAGTAAAGCGAAAAGTAATAAAATTAGCAAAAATTCTTCTTCGATTCGAAACAGAATATTAAAAATTCGAAAATTTAAAAATTAAAATTCTAAATCGAAAATAGAGAATTGAAGTAGAAGAGAAAAAGAGAGGAGGAGAAAAGAGAGAGAGAGAGTAAAGAACTTGAAAAATTAAAAATTAAAATTCAAGCAAGTTAGAAATTCTTTAATATTCAAACGACGAGATGAATGGTGTCTTGAGTATACGGATTTATTAGATTCACCGCAAGTTTCCGACATAACAACATGGTTAATTAACCAGCTGGTACAAATACCAAAGAGAATTCAAAACGGTATGTATCTGTTAATACCGACAGATCAGCTTGTCGGAAGGCTTGTGCTCTGCATGTTAATGAAATACAATGTTGAAATCGAAATATTCCTCTCTAGAGATACACTCTCAAATATATTATTGAAACCGTGGAATAGCTTCAAGATCCTTTGTCTTGTTGAAATATTAATTAAATTAAAAAAAAAAAAAAAAAAAAAAAAATTAAAATATACTTCGTACATACATCATAAACACATATTTTTATGATATATTTTTATAATACATCTCGAAAAACAAATAAAGGGAAGGGAAGAGAGAAAATAAATCATCGATACTCAAACTTTTACAGAAAAATTTAACTTGTGTTTCCAAACGATTAAAACAATTTATTTAATCGGAAAAATTTATCAAATTCTTCATTCTATCTTTCGAGAAATATCTTTCGACGATATATTCGTGTGAAATATATCGTATAGACGTTCTCCAATTCTGCTTTAATATCCTGTGATCAACCGGAAGTGTCCTCGAGTAAGACGCAAAGGCACGTAAGATGGAGAGAAACCGGTCAATTTTGAAGCAGTACAGGGAGGGAGGGGAGAAGCAATGAATTCTCAGGTGATGCGAGGAAATTGCATTCCCTTTTCTCTACCTGTGAATCGCCGTTGTACACAACGGGGCGACGATGAATTTTCCATGATTTTTTTTTTCTTTTTCTTTTTTNTTTTTTTTTTTTTTTCAGGAAAGGCTTCTATTGAGCGTGCTGCCGCGCCACGTAGCCATGGAGATGAAAGCTGACATCGCGGGGAAGCCAAAGGATACCATGTTTCACAAAATTTACATTCAGAGGCACGAGAACGTCAGGTGAGGGCAAAATATCCTGATACAACGATATAGTATGTATGTATAAAGGCGTCGAGAGTATCGAGTTTCGTTTGTCGAGCAGAGAACTGTTTTATCTAATTGTTCTTTTCGGACGCGTCGATTTCCAAGTTTCAAATATTGTTATAGAAATTTTTCAAGTTTGGAATTTTAGAAAAATTTTGGAAAAGTAGATTTGCCCGCGTTATCCTAATTCTTGAGTAGATTTAGAAGTAAAATTTCGAAAATATCTTATAAAGGTATGATAAGGTATATATATTTTAAAGGTATAATATTCTATTGAAACAAATCAAACATATTATACAATCTTCAATCTTTTTTAATATTCTACGACTACGAGTGAAATTTTGGAAAAATCTTGACAATAATACTCGAGAAATTTTCGAATTGCACACACGTATATAATATCCAATCCCTTTAGATCCATTTGGACGTGAATGGAATTTCGAAAAAAAAAAAAACCTCTTAACAATAATATTCGAGAAATCTGAATAATATTAATGAGCAGCTCTTTCAAATCTTTGTAAGGATTTTTTTTTCAAAATTTTTCGAAGCTTAAAATATCAAGATACTTTGGAAAGAAGAAATTGAAAGAAATTATGATTTCGATATAACGAATAATAAGGAAGATCGAAGAATTGTATTTGTAATGGAAGAAACATATAATAAGTAATCATACATGATAAATAAACGAGATATATACAGATATAATAGGGGGGATGAATATTCGGTGAATTATTATGCGGTATATGCGTATAACCAGGCCAGCAACTGAATATTCAGCATCATTATGCACCAGACTGGTGCACGCGTCTATCACACGTTAAAGTAACACGTATCTGCCACTCGAGTCTCGTTAAGTCGCACGACGTACACCTAACGAATTCTAATTAACATCGTGACTTAAATACCACTTACCGGAACCTAACCGAGAAGAATACATCTTGGTAATCGTTTTCCAGCATCCTGTTCGCCGACATTTGTGGATTCACTTCCTTGTCGGATCAATGCACTGCCGAGGAGGTTGTCAAATTATTGAATAAATTATTCGCCTGGTTAGTATCGTTGTCCATAGTCTATATTCTAGATTAAGAGGAGTTAATTCTTTTTCCCGTGTTATTAACGATAATATATGCTTGTTGTAAAATTGGATAGAAAATTTATTGAAGATTCGATTCGATATTTATATTTGTATTATGCTCAACAATAATTGCACGACAGTAAGTTTTATCGTGTAATCATTATTCGATAATGATAATTGGATATTTATGCATTTACGTGAAATTTGAATGTACAAAAATGTAGGGAACGCACGTAATACGCAAAAATATTAAAATTATACGTATTAATGTATTCGAGGAATAAAATTCAAAATTTATTTATCTTCTATATGCACTCGACGTTAAATAATTTGATAGACAATAATTATTGGAAATTTTATTTCCTTTCCCTTATAAATAAATAATTTAATCCTCCCTTTTAAATTATTTCTAAATTGCCAAATGGATATTATATAAATTTAATTATTTTCGCGAATATTGAAAGAATGTGAATAATTTTAATAAATAACAATTGTTAATGCGAAATGTAAATTTTCGTAGCTTCGACACACTGGCAGCTGAGCACCATTGTCTGCGAATCAAATTACTCGGTGACTGCTATTATTGCGTCTCCGGACTTCCTGAACCGAGGCCAGATCACGCGCGTTGTTGCGTGGAAATGGGTTTGGACATGATTAGCGCCATTACGTGAGTCTTCTGTCCTACTAATTTTCTGATGCATCGAATTCTTTTTCTTTCTTTTTTTGTTATTTTTCTTTTTTTTTTTCTGGTAGTCCAACGCGAACCATTCCGTTTCCTCTCTTCTAAATTAGCGAATTAGCACCTGATCCAATTTCCATTATTCGTAATTAGCGTTGTGTAAAAATAACGATGCACGATAGAAGAGTAACATATGTTGAAATTTTGAACAAAGCGATAAGTTACTAATGTTTCTATGAATATTTTTTTATCTAGAGATGTATTATTTCTTTTTACAAAGAATTCACGTTTCGTAATAGTCGTTATATATCGTCATAAATCGTTATGGTATTTCTCGATCTATTCGTCTTCGAAACACGAGCACAAATGGCACTTTATTCTCGAAGGAAATCATTTCTTTGACGGAACTTAGTGTTTTTCAAAAGCAAACCTATAAACCGGAGAATTCTCGTCTCCGCGGGCTACTTTCATTTATTGTTTCCTGCTCTTAGAACTTTCCCTAACCTTTTTCCGGTCATTTCGTCGAAAATGCGACGGAAGCGCCTCGATGCGGCGCTTCCACTAAATAAAAACCATTTCGTTTTGAAACTCTCTATAGTCACGAAAAAACTAAAGAAACTTTTGATCAAATATGATTGAAGAATGAATATTTAAATATTTTTTTCGGTTAAAATATTTGTGGATTATTGGAAAAATTTTTAAATTTAAATTATAAAAATATAGCACTCCAGTGTATAAATAAACTAATCAAATAATTTCGAAAATGACAATGAAATTTATAATTTCTTCAAAGTTTATGATTTATTTACAGTTTATATTTTTTTTCTCCCATACTATTCAGCAATATAAATATAATCCGTAGTGTAATAATCTCTACAGGCGTTATTTCTAAAACAATCGATTCTTCTTTTCTCCTCTTATATAGGCTGTATCGAGAGGTGGGCGCAGTGAACGTGAACATGAGAGTGGGAATACACACTGGAAGGGTTCATTGCGGGGTTCTTGGCTTGAGGAAATGGCAATTCGACGTTTGGAGCAACGATGTCACCCTGGCCAACTATATGGAGAGCGGAGGGATACCGGGGTGAGTTTTTCCTTCTTTCTTTTTCTTTCTTCTTTTTTTTTTTTTTTTTTAAAGAAAATTTTCATCCGATTTCAAGCGAATGTTGAAACGAGAGATGAAACATTGAGCGAAATATTTTTGTCGCTTCTTTTTCTTTCGGGAGGAAAAAAATTCTCGAAACGAAAAAATCTCGAAAACGAGGAATTCGAATATTTATCGCGAAATATACGCGACGGTTCGTTTCGCTTCTTTCTTTCTTTTTTTTTTTTGTTTCCTTTTCGAGAGGGATAACGAGATTTAAATTTTTAAACTTTTGATTTTATTTTACCGTGAAACTTGATGAAATTTCATATCTGTTAAATATTCCGTTTCATCGAGTCGTGAATAACAGATGCATTTTATCGAATGTTCGATTTTTTTATTAAATGAAAATATACGATAAGAAAATCCTTGCGATATCTACTTATTTATAAGAAATATATTTTTATAATGTTTCTTGTTGATTTCTTTTATCAACAAATTACACAGTATCAAATCACACAAGATACAAAACTTGAATTCAACTTTTCCAAAAAATTTAAAACTATCCAAAAACGAAAGATAAATATTTCACCAACGACACTGTTTCTTTTGATAATAATAATATCAATTTATGAAAACGTCGGTTTAAAATTAATTCTCGATAATTTCATATTAATTGGAATCCATTTGAACGTTCAATACATTTTTAAAATTAAATCTCTAGAGATGTAAATCTTCATTATATGATTCATTATAATTTCTCCATAGACGAGTCCACATCACGAAAGAGACCCTGGACTGTCTGGATGATTTCTACGAGGTGGAAGAGGGTCACGGGGGTGAAAGGAACGCGTACCTGAAGGAGCACAATATCAAAACGTACCTAATCGTCCCTGGGGATACGTGCAGGGGTAACATACCCTCTTCAGGATTGAGAAAGGGTTTGCCCGCGAATGGGAACGTGTCCAAAGAGATGAGGGTGATGGGGCACGGGTCTCAACACGGGAAACAGAACAAGTGAGTGATTCATCGTTATTCCTCTCATTCCATTTTTAATTTCTTCCCTCGAAAAAAAAGGGAAAAAAATGTGAAATTTTTGAATTATTCGAGATTCCGATATTATTCAATATTTTTTAATGGGAATTGATGATAATTTGTTTTGGATGATGAATTTTCAAATTTGTAATTTTTAAATTACGAAGTTTGTAATTTTTTAGATTAAAGTTTTGATCAAAGGTCGGGGTAGCGATAGCCGCATGGCGGTGCCTGCTCGTTTTTAATTTGTGTTAAATTTAGTTATAAAATAGGTTAGTGTAGGTTATCATCTTTAAATAAATTATATATAGAAGTTGAAAATGATTTATTTGCAAGTTAAAATTTGTGAAATCGTGAAATTTAGAAGAGATAAGTTATCTTATAGTTTTTAAATAAAAAATTAAAATTAAGAAAATAAACAATTTTTGATAAATTTTTTTTTTATATCGAATCTTTTTTTTTTTACATCGATTGTTCGTTCTATAATAGATTAGGCTTTGGAGAGACGACAGAGGCAAAAAAAGACCCTGAAGACGAGGTGAACGAGTATCTGATGAGGGCGATCGATGCCAGGAGTATAGATCAATTAAGAACAGAATATTGCACTCCTTTCATCCTAACTTTTCGTAGCCCCAATGTTGAGGAGAAGGTAAACTTAAATTCATTCAATTTTAAAAATACAATTAGCCTTAAAATTATTCGAATCTGAGATCGATATTTCACAAATTTGTTATCTTTTATTTTAATTGTATGAAAAATTATATCTCAAAAATTGCATATATAAAATATTCAGGCAATCATATGCTTTCTTGAATAATCAGATTAAATTAAATCAGTGGAAAATTAATACAAGAGAATTTTTTGCTGGAAAGGAGTTAACTAAGGAAAATGATGCATAAGGTCCATATTTATCTGAAAACAAATTTCTAAAACTTAATGAGTTTGTATGCTAATGCGTTTTAACATTTGTGTACATTTGTAGATTTTATAACCAAGCACAAAGACGATGTTTATTAAAATTTATCTAACGATTTCTTCGATTTAAAGATTGTATTACTGATATTTTTTTGTCTCTATTCACACACAATTATTTATTCATCTATTAAAAAACTTCAAAGCTTTGCATTCTCAACATTGTACAATATTTTTTTCTATATTACATTTATATCCATTTTTTCACCAATTTTCATCCCGTTTTTATCCTTTTTCATTCAAGACTGAATTTATAATATTTAAGAATATTTTTATTTATTTATATTAATCGTATTCGTATATACACGATTGCGATTGTATTGTATTTTTAACTTATCTGTTATAGTATTCACGTGAAAGGGATAGAATGCTGTCAGCATATTTCGTCTGTTCCGGTTTCGTGTACATGGTGGTCGTGATTGCTATAGCAATCACTCTATATGGGTAAACAAGACAGTTTGAATAAATTTTACTTTTTCTTTTTTTAACATTTTTTTTTTTTCTCCTCTGTTGCAATCTATCAATCAAACCGACTCTCAGTTAATTCGTCGTATATTTACTTCATCGATCAATTTTTTTCTCATGAAAAAAAATTTCATTTGATCCATTTTCGAAAGTTTTTAAAAGCTTATATGTAATATTAAAGTTATTATTTAGATAAAAAAAATTAATTAATTAATTTCGATCAATAATTTAATATTAAATTCACTTCAGAAATATACACACAAAATTTTTTCAAATTCAAGTAAAAAGGAATATTTAAATTAAAATATAGAAATTATTTTTTTAGGAGTGGATATTTTTACACATGTGTAATTGTGAGCATATTGGTGATTGCGATAATCAATGGCATTCTATTAGCAGAAAAGAACGAGGTAAGATTATTATTTAATTATTCGCATCCTATGTTCTACAATTATGCATATTATAAATCTTTCATTGTATCGAGTGACTAACGTCAATCCATTGACTGTTCATCGTACATAAATGATTATAATTATCCACTAGTAACTCATTGCAGATTACAAATGATTATATGGATATAATATAATACACGCATCATTAAATTCTCGATAGTTATGTATATTCATATACCAGTAATATCTAATAATTATCAAGAAATTTTAAAACAAAATTTTCCTCCAAAGTTTCCTTTAAAACAAATATTCCATTATGCACATTTATGCAAACGCGTTATTTCCGTATAACCTATACATGTATCAAATATGTATTAACGTAACGAAAGGATTAATCAAGCGAATTTCATGTATTGCGAGGAATCTCCAACGCGACTCGATCGATCGGACTAACTCTTTGGAATCTTGCCACTTCCTCTTAACCTTGAATCCGTGGCAAAATTCCAGGTCAATGCTGAGGCCATCGATTCTGTCTTGACCATGCGTTACCGCCAATTACTATAGTTATGCATACTAATGCATACACTTCAAAAAAGAAAAAAAAATTGAACTTAAAAAAAAATACGCAAAATTAAAAAAGAAGATTTTTTTTTAATCAGATGGATTTACTTACAATTTCTGTTTCTTTAGACAGTGCCACAGTGTCTTCGAGATTTTGCGGTGCACGTATTCGAGAATCGTGGAATGGCACAAGCTCTGGCCACGTGTGTCGTGTTTCTAACTTTCGTCACAGCATTGTCGCCACTGGTAAGCTTAGCATAGTTACTACCTTCAACCAATAACGAGTAATAACGTACGATTTACATTATTTGTAAATATTCGCCTTGAATTCCAAGCACGATGTTTCTTTTGTGTCATTTGTGTTATTTACGTTTCTGATACGTATCGTATCTTGTACTATTACGTATGTATACAAATCAACGTTTGTTTCTTCACTCCAATGTCTTAATTCAATAAACGATATTCATTGAGAACTACTGTAATTCGTCAAAATCTGATGGAATCTCGTAAAAGATATTATTATGATGAAATTCACATGAATGCCTCATCAATCATCATCAAATATCGAATATATGATCGATATTTTTTAGCCATCCATCATCGATGAATTCATCAAGATCTATCGACTTAGAACAACACGTGAATAGCTTTAACCTATCGACGTTTTTGCATCGTTATACAGAGTGACTTCAAGTATTTTTTATCATGATTAAATTTTCGTAAAAATATTTTTCGAAAATATTTTAAAAATTAGCAAATGGTAAGAATTTTTTATTCAAAGAAATAATTGAGTAATTGAAAAGAAAAATCTTTTCACTTTTCTTTTAGAAAATTTAATTTTAGTTGGTAATATACAATAGAAAATAAATTTAAAATATCGATAGTATATATATAATATAAATGTAAAAAGTTTAATCAGATTAAAATAATGAATCAATAATTTAATTTCGCTGATAACTGAAGAAAAACAAAATTTGCGATAAATAACTTTCAAAATTGACTTTCAATTTCATTAATATCTCGAAGATGTCGTTATAAGATTAATAATAAATTTGCGAACACTCTTTATAAGATTAATCTGAATAAGATAACATAGACCGTGTAACGAGCTTTAAGCAACTGATGGATCATTTTTTTCCCGAAATAATCCTACGTTGAAACGATTCAAGAAAGAAAAGAAACAAAGCGATTAGTCTTCATTCGTTTCTTTCGATTGCAGCTTACGTTGGAAGGTGGCCGTGTATGCGGAAATGGCACTTTGTTCACCGAGTGGCCTGATAATTCCAGCGTCACTTTCCAAAGTATTGACACGCCCGTCAATGTTTGCTATTACACCGTTTTCGCTGACGTAAGTACCGTATGATCGATTCGACTCGAATTAACTCGAGATTAACTCGATATCTGATGGATGCTACTAATGGATCTTAGGCCGCGTTCCTAAGACGCGTGACGTGCCAAAATTATTTCGATTACGTTTCGATTACGTTTATTAAATGAATTTAATGGTATATCAGAAATAATTACATATATATTATACAAAATTTTTCATATGATAATTCGGAATAAAAAAATGATATTATGGTAATATCAAGTATAAATATTGCATCAAATATAAATATTTTGCGAATTTTTTCTTGATTGCTCGATTGTTTGTATTTTAAGTTTTTAAAGTCATAATTAAACACAATAATTAAGCGCGCACTATTGTATTTAATAATTAGTAAATTGATTATGATCTTGTTAAAAAGATGATGAATCCAAGTTAAGCTTAAAATCTATTAAAATCTATTATTCTACCTTGATTTAAAGCCAAGCAGCTTTTCTTAAGCCAAAATGGTATTTCTCAAGTCTAAATTAACCACAATCAGAATTATTTAAGTTAAACAAAGCTGACAATGCATCGAATTTACTCAAATTTAATTTATTACATTCTGGTTTATTTATGACAAGCTATGTATTAATTGTAGCTTTTCCCAGTACTGGTGATGCTAGTCATGATAACCTGTGCAGTCTATCAAATTTTAACGTCGGTATTCAAAGTGGCTATACTAAGCTTAGTAGTTGCTTGCTACTTAGCTATCAGCATCTATGAAGCCGTACACGAGAGAGACGTGGAATTGACTGGAAGGTGGCTGGCAGGTGTTCTGGTAGTTTTCTTTATGACTTGCTTGATTGCCCATTCCCAACACACAGAAGCTACTTATAGGTATCTATTGTACTTCATTCATTCAGTTGTATAATATTTTAAAAATTTAATTTTTTTTTCTACTTGAAGAAGAAATTATGAATGGATGAATAATTTGTTAAATAATTTATTCGATGAACTTTATTGATAAATATACGCAGACTGGACTTTCTATGGAAACTCCAAGCTACGGAGGAGAAAGAGGAAATGGAACATTTGAAGGCCTATAATCAAAAACTACTGGCGAACATACTTCCGGAACATGTAGCAGCCCACTTCCTGTCTACGGTTAATTCAGACGTAAGAAAATTAACAAAAATACTTTTATATGATACTCTTTCTCAAAGCTATTAATAACATTGCAAAGAAATAAAAAATATTGACCGATATTCCAAATATTCTGATCTTTATATACAAATTCATTTTTAATAAAAATGAAAAATAAAAATGAAGATTTGAAACTAATTTCGCAATTAATAATTTATTATTCTTATTTTACAAATGAGATCACGTAAAACAATTTTCCTCTAAATTGAGGTCGATTAAATTATTCCTCTCTTTTCCAAAATTTTCAATCAATCGATTTAAATAATTCCAATAACATTGAAATTCCTTTCTTTTAAAATTTTCTCTTCTATAAACTTCCAATCCGACCAATTCATCAAAATAATCCTCGACATTATTCAAATGCCTTTCTTTTCATAGCAAAGCCTATCAAATTATCTCTTCCAATCAATTCAATTTATTTAAACAATCCTCAACTACCAATCGTTCAAATTATTTCTTTTCGTCTCTCTCAAATCCTCGAAAATTTCGTTCCAAAAACTTCCGATCGGTCTTTTCCTATCCGGAAAAAATCTGTAAAAAATCAAAGATTCCGTAATATCCTTAATTAGATCGCGTCGTTTCATCGCCGTTCATTCTTCCACGAAATTAACATTTTCCAGGAACTGTACCACGAACAATGCGACTTCGTTTGCATAATGTTCGCCTCGATACCAAACTTTTCGGAGTTCTACGTAGAATTGGAGGCGAATAACGAGGGTGTCGAGTGTCTCAGACTCTTGAACGAGATCATAGCCGATTTTGACGAGTTGCTCGCCGAGGAGCCGTACAAATACATCGAGAAGATCAAGAGTACGGGGGCCACGTACATGGCTGCATCCGGTAAGCCATCAACTTCCTTTTTCACCCCATATTATATTCAACGAGGCGCTGATTAAAATTCGCCACGTCTGTTCTCCTGTGTATATGTGTACAAACCGTTTCTCCCATTATTTTCCATATTTCGTCAACGAAGGGCCATTTTTCTTTTCTTGAAAAAAGAAAAAAAATTTTTATCCTTTTTCGGTTGTTATTTCTTTGTAATCTCTCTTGTAATTTTTATCTCTCCCTTCCGGGAATTTTCGTTTCTTTTTCGTCCGCGTAGTTCCGCGCTTATCTTTTTCGAAAAAGTTGTGGATCTTCTTGTGTTGGAAATTCTTGGAAATATCTTTTAAAGTAATTTTTTTGAAAAAGAAAAATTGAGAATTTATAAGCAATATTTTTTTTTTATATAATTACTTCTTCTTTTCTTTTTTTTTTTTTTTGATAATGTTGAATTATCTTTTAGAAAGAGAATTTTTGAAATAATAATTCTTAAATTCATTTCCTCGATCATATCTTTCAAATTTTATTTTATTTCCGAAGAATAGATTAACACGTATCAATTGATTTATACTCAATAATTTGACTATATTATTGTGTTTATGTACTTAATATTTAATAACATATCCATATTGACGTGTTCCTATTGAATCACGTAGAATGATTAACTGGTGATTTCGTTTCCCTATCCGTTCGAATGATTTATTAAATCAAACAATTTACGTAAATTAATTACGAAGCTTTATATTGTTCAATGACCAATAATGTCCAAACAATGTCTGAAAATTTTACAAGAATAATTCACTCGTTATTATTACATTTCTTTTAATAGATAATTTTAATTCTCTCCTTACTCAATATTATGTTGAAATAATTTTTATTTTTCCCAAGAAGTCGAGTTTTCTCGTTTTCTTCCGAAAGATAGTTAATTTCAAAAGTGAATTTTTCTACCATTCTTTTCGCAGGTTTGACGAAAAGCACCTGCGACATGAAAGATTACAAACACGTGACTGCGATGGCGGACTACGCTCTGAGGATACGCGAACAGCTGGCTTCCGTTAATGAGCACAGCTTTAACAACTTCCGGTTGCGTGTGGGCATCAATATTGGACCGGTAACGTCAATCAATTTTCGACTAGCTTTTACAATATTCACGAAAGCGCCTTATTTGACCCGAACTAGACGAGAGAAGATAAAATACACTTTGGTATTTGGTGAGAAGTAAATTCAATTCTGGAAAAATTAAAAATTTTAAACTCGAAAATATTCAATATTTCCGATACAGTGAAGTATTAGAACACGATGATATCCTTTTTCTTCTTAATTTTCTAATATTCAAATAACTTGTAATAATTATAATAATTTTGTTCCCTCCGTGTAAAGAAAAATTTAAATACATTATTTATTTATAGATATATAAAATACTTTCTTTCAAAAATACTTTTACATAGAATTTAAACGAGTGTTTCGAATTTACATTAATATTAACAAAATTTAACAGAATATTCTTTTTTGAAATAATTAATAAATAAATTAATAATTAATTTTTTAAATAATTAATAAACATAGAATGTTAATAAACGAATCTTTTGGACCTATATAATATAATATTGAAACAATTTAATAAAATATTTTTTTTAAAAATAGAATTCTAATAATAAATGAATCTTTTTGTTTTTTCGTGTAGGTGGTTGCCGGAGTGATAGGCGCCCGGAAGCCGCAATACGACATTTGGGGTAACGCGGTGAACGTGGCCTCGAGGATGGAGTCTACGGGCGTGTTGGATGGAATTCAGGTCACCCAAGAGGTTCGAGACATCCTGATCGCGAAAGGATATCCGCTCACTTGTCGTGGTACCATCCAAGTGAAAGGAAAGGGTAGCATGGTCACCTATTTCCTCGACGGTCCTCGTGATCCAACCAAGGCGAGCATCCTCAACGATATCAACGAGGAGAGAATAACTTCTGTCAATAATTTCAATCTGGATGGCTCAGTGTCGACGAAGAAGACTTGATCTATAGCTGGGTCAACGTTGCTGTGAAACAATCCTTCGAGATGAGAAGCGGATCGAGAGAAAATTCTATTGCGTGCGCAATATTTTTCAAGGCACCTAGATCATTTGAAAACTGTTACAAGGGAAAAAATGAAGAGGAAGATTTGAAGATACGAGCAGTTATTATTTTAGTAGTAGACGTTACGTTATCTATTTGTAAAAAATAATCTCGAGAACAATTTTCGAGAGTTTTATTCTCAAAAACTTGTACTTTGCACCTTCGAATTTTTGACAACTCGTTTCGTCGATGTTACGTTTTCATTGACACGTTCAAATCGGAGGAAATAGTGTTAGAATAATCATATACGTTCTACAAATGTTCATATGTTCGTGAAAATATATTTTGAGGATCGATTCTAGAGATCAAAGTACAAAAGTTGGTGTACAGAAATGTCAATTGAAGTTTATTGAAGTTAAATTAAAAGCAATTGAATTTGCGTTAAATGAACTGAGATATCTCTGTCACGCTATTGTGTCGTTATATTTTTATTTCGCTTCATCTAGCGCAACTTTAATTCCTTATAACTTAGATAAATTAGTCTCGACATTTTCATATATTTTCATATATTTCAATTTTTATATTTATTTATCTCTAAAATCGATTCTTCAAAAATATTCCATGAATATATTAACACTTCCTATATTTTGTCAGATAATTATTATTTGTCTTTTTTTTTTATTGATAAATATTTTGAAAGAAATGCAATGAATTTAAGAAAAAAAATTGGTTGTCAACGAAATTGGTTGTCTGTGATTCAAAGGCAATTTGATTTGGAAAATCTGATTTATTGGAAGCGTGGAAGAGAGAAATATTCGATTGTTTCTTTCTTTGTCTCACGACCGCCGACTGCCGTCCTTAATGCGGTTCAATCGATCTCCAAAACTCGTCGATTAGTCATAAGTTAGAAACGCAAACGGAAAATCGTGTAAACTCGGATATTTCCGTATCTCCCTATTTTGGGAAAAGATGACTTGTACTTAAAGTCGTATCTCGCTATTCTATGTGTGATTAGATGTTTCGATTCTATTCCGGGGAATAATCTTTGAAAGCTGACAGCAAGACTAATTTTTTAATTTAATATTTATAAACTATTTTAACTATTTTAATTCGGTTTTATAATGAAAATTTATGAATAATGAATAACAATTTTAAATATGAATAAAAAAATAAAGATGTCAATTCAGAATTATATTAAATTATATTAAATTATATAAATTTTCTAATAAAGATATAATAAAATAAAAAATAAGTCTATATAAATATAATTTCCAAAATTCAAAAATTCGAATTTTTGAAATTTTTATGAAAAAAAATGTGACAATCGTAAAATAAATATTAAAAATAAAATGAATTAACATGAAATTGGAGATATAGGATAACAGTCTGGCTGTTAGCTTATGCACATTCTTCTAGTCAATAACGAGAGATTAATATGAGAAGCTCGATACAACGAAACCGTGGTTGGATTTTTAATATAGAAATTTCGTTCAAAAAACGAAACGGGACCACGGCAAGTTTATAGGAATTAAAGACAAGAATGAATGAGAGAAAAAATGGAGACGCGAGAAACTATTGAAGGAAAAGAGAAAAAAAGACTCGCTATTTTTACATTTCTCTTTTTTTTAATCTTGTTTCGTCGACGAAATGCGTCGATTAATGAGTTTTTTAATCACATGTAAGAAAAGAATCATATACATACATATATATATATATATATATATATACATATATGTATGTGTATATTCTTTTTAAATATTTTAGATAAGATAATACACGCGTTTCTGCACAGTGCGATTCGGTCTAATAGTAGATAGTGTCTATCGACTAAACAATGCCGCGTATGGTTGCATAATACGTTCTAAGCAACCAAAACTGTGTTCTATACATATGTATATCAATACCGTATTGCTTCATTGTTTCATAATCTTCTTTTGATTCAATGACAAATGTGATTTCTTTATGTTCAATATTATTTGTAAATATAAATACGATACGTTCATTATATAATATTTAGCCTCTTATAATTTAAAATTTTAAATCTTTAGAAATTTAAGTGATTTTGAATAAAATTTTTCTTAAATTTTTATTGATACTAATTCTGATAATTAAAAAACATATTATAACTTAAGATATTTGTATCATTATTTTCATCATATATTGATAAATATTTATAAAAATTCATAATTATATTTTGAGAAATATTTTCATTTTTCTCAAAAATTTTTAAATTCTAATATTATGTTTTTTTTTTCTATTTTTAAATAAAATGTATTACATTTATTATGATTTTTGTCAAATATATCTAACATATTATCATGTTTTTCGAGTTATTAAATTCATTTAAATATCAAAAAATATTCATTAATATTGTCATTGATATATTGTATCATTCATGATTTTTATTTCCAAATTCTTTATCTGTTTTGATATTTTATGTATAATTACATATGTAAAATTATTTTTTATTTATTTCATTGACTACATACGTCGTAATATCGTGTATACAGAATAAATCAAAAAACATGTCGCAAGTAATTTTTCCACGATATACATTTATTACGAGATAATTCCTAATGAACGAAAATTATAATTATAAATAATAACGAAGATTATAATTATAAATAAATCACTCGATAAAATAAATGTTTTGACATACGTAATCAATAAAGTAATGAAAAATCAGAACCTGGTGCAATAATAAAACTAGTAGAAATTAGATCAGAATGAATAAGATCTAGTATTTTTCGTATCTATTTTTTTTTTTCTTTTGAAATTCAATTTTCTTATCTCAATTTCAATGACAAATTTTTATAATTTGCCAATTTTTATAATTTTTAATAAATATTATATACATATGATATCGTAATTTTATTTTTTGAATAAAATAATATTTAAAAATATTATTGCAACGGGTTTGATTTATTGTAAAGATAAATTTAGAAATGAATTAATCGTTCTAATGTTTATCGCGATGAATGTGTAACTTTCCAAAGAGTCTTATTAGTCATTGAAATTCATCTCGAGCTAATAGAGCGAGCCTATAATGAATGTTTCCTCATCACAAAGAAATACATATTTTAATGTTGCTGGCAGGTCCAGCTATGTTGATAAATGTTAATCGACGTTACGATCGAACCGACCGCGGGCCATCGTTCGATAGATTAAAACAAGATATCGTTTTACAGATGCTTTTACAAAAAATTTCAAAAATTTGTATGTAATCGTTTTTTATTTTAATCGATAAATTTAAAGATATTAGAATATACATACGCACAATTTTATTTTTATTAAAGTGTTGAAATTTATTATGGTATTAAAGTAGAAATTTCTTGTTCTATGAAAGCATCTGTAATATAAAATTAAAAGAAAAAAAAATCATATCAAGTCTAATTATAAGTGTATAAGCCTAACTAAGATGTCTTAGCTTTCTAGAGATAAAGTGTATCATATAAATGAAATATTGCTGTTATGACTGGTGTTGTAGAAATTCTTCGTCAAAGCACTTGAAAAAAAAAAAAAATTCCAAAAAATAGGAAAATAAAAAAAAAAAAAAAGATCAAAAAATTGTTCTTTGTAGAATTTTAACAAATGAAATTTTAATAGAACACAATTTGTAATAGAAAATTCTTTTTCGAACTTTTCTGCAATACTCGTCCTATAATGGCACTGGAAACCAGTCAATTTGAGGATTTCATCAGATTTACGGATAATCATTATACTTCCTCTTTCGTGTAATTTCTTAATGGCCTAAACGCAAAACCTAAGTCCATAATGAATATTATTGTAGTTATTACTTGCGCGATGTGATTTGCCAGGAATAACATGAAATAAATTTTTATTAAAAAATCAATCAGTTTATTTTGTTTAATTTTGTTATATTGAAAAATTATTATTATTAATTTTATTATATGAGAAATTGATTCTATTTATAGATTAGAATTAATATGGAATAATTAGACTATGAGAGAAAAATTTTATATATCCAGTTGATTATAAAAAAATATAAAACGAAAGAATATCTTTTAAATATTTCTAATATATTAAAAAAATTTTAAAGAAATAAAAAAAAAATTTTTTTTCTTTAATCATAATAATGAAAATTATCAAGTAACAAAAAAAGTTGTGTTAACGTAATATTGATATGTAATATAAATATATATACATGTATATATATATATATATATTTTTATCATTTATCAAAAAAGTCTTTTGAAATATAATTTTTTATGATATAATATCAAAAAAAAAAATTGTAAAAATTTATAAATAAATAATTCTTTTCTAGAATCTATTATTACAATTATTAAATATAATATTATTTTTTAAAATTTTAAAATTTAAGTTAATTTTAAGATTATTAAGTTAGTTTTAAATTAATTTTAAAACTAAAACCAAATTTTAAATCTCTTCTATACAATATATAGTGAATGAAAACTAGAAATTTTTGTCAAATTTCCTATTATAATCATTTAGAGCTATTTAAATCTTAAATGTTGGTATCTCTGCTGCATGATCGATAATGTTGTTCTTTTGGAAGGATATGTAACACGTGTATCGTGTTAGTACTATTTGTGTGATGTAACGAGAAGTTATGTTTCTCTTCTAATCTTGATATGATTGTAAAAATATTATTTTTTATTAATTAGTGTTTCTATTGTGACTTCATTATGTAACCGGACGACTAAATTGATTGATGGCTAACACACGTGAGAAAGCAAATTCATGTATATATGTATATATATTGCATGTATGCTATGTTATATTAAGAATCAATGTTAACAGAACATTGAATTTTTTTTGTCATTTGATTTTTGTTTTTTATTTATTCATTATGATTGATTTGAATGATATTTTGAAGATGCTTAATTTTTTTGTCGTCATTTAGATTTCTATATAGATGTCAATATTTATAATTAAAATTGATAATATAATAATTTATCTAAAGCATAATATATTTCTTTTATCTTAAGAAAATAGTGTTTTATGCTCTTAATATGTATTATATTTTTAAATTGTAATTTTTATTATAATTTACATTTTATTATTTGCATTTATATTTCACTATTTAATTTTTAATAAATTAATTGCAAAAATATTAAAAATAATTTTTAAGATAAGAAAGATTCTATTATTTGAGCAAAAATTTTGTTTATTATTTTAATTTTTTTAATATGTTTTTAATATATATAATAATATGTTTTTAATATATTAAAATAATAATTTTTAATATAATAATATATTAATTTTTTTTGCTCGGTATTATTATATGTTATTATATCAATATTTATTTACTTATTATATGTTATTACATTTCGATATATAGATAGAGATTTTAAAATTTTATTTCTAATCAAATTTTTTAGATCATCGTAATATGAAAAAATTAGATTTGAATTGACATAAATTTTATAAAATAAACATTAAGCTAATAATAATCATACTAATTGACCGATTTGTTCAATAAATTATATAATATTGTATCAAAATTATTTTGTATAAATTTAATTAGTGTATGTTTTAATATGAAAAAAAAAAGAAATAATATGTAATG